TACTTAAAATTATGGTAGTATTCGATCCATGCCATCCCTAGTTAAATCTATGAATATGTCATCCAAGTAAAGATCATATAAATATATTTTTAAGTGCACACTGGTCCTAACTTTGTGAAATCCTCTTGGCAAACTTAAATTGATTTCAACTAAAGAGAATAATATACCATGTTAGTATAATATGTCTCTCTGTAAGAAGTGTCAGAAAATTAATCCAGAAACATTGTTAAATTTTCAGTTTTAGATTCTAGTAATGCTTAAAGGCAAGTTTTGTTTGCCTAGAGTTATTTTTAATGTAATTCAAAAGAATTCAGTTTTTTTGTGTACTATCTTCTATAAACACACTGGAACCAAACTTATTGGTCATGATCCACATAAATTCATTAGATAGAAGACAACATCCTAACACCATAGAGTGTTTTGACACATTTTCGATAATTTAGTTAGGAGTTCGCAGAGAAAAAAAAAGAGTCTATTTAGTTAAAAGCTTCCTAACAAAATATCAACAAATTAGTGTAGTGTCTAATAAGAAACTTACTCTAACTTAACATTTTTCTTTTTTTTTTGGAGTCGTTTTGTGGACCTCTGGGAGTCCCAAACCAACGTCATCATGCTTTCTCTAACCATGTTATTTCTTCCTCTTAAAGATCTTTTTTTGTGAATTTCTATTCTCCCGGTATTTTGTGAGTGTATGTATATATAATGTTTCATTACTCACTATTAGCTCAGAAGTTGTATAAATAGTTTTTGATGAATAGTTTTAACATCTCAAATTATATTTTTTAACACATTTTAACATGCAGAGGAAGTGAGTTCTTCAATGCCTATATTGCATTTACTTAATTTGAGCTTAAAGGAAGACATGTATATTGATAGGTTAAACACCACCCACCACGTTGAGTTTAATTAAAAATGGATAAAGTTATAAATTATAGTGCATAACAAAACGAAAAAGACGACATAAAACATAAGGAAATGTAATGGTGATTTATGTTTTCTAGGTGGATCTAATCTTAATCGTGTCCCCTTATTTCCATTCTTTGGGTCAAAAATCTGATTGTTTGATGCTGAACGCCTTCATTGTGGTACAGCAAATGCATGGGCGGTCCCAAGATTGAATATTAGTGGGGTCAGAAAAAATAAAATGTCACTGGTGGGAGTCAAACCCAGATTTTTGAGGGTTTATGAGCTGTGTTTTACCAATTCTACTGCCTAATCTTTGTTGTTTTCCTATACGAATCAGCATATTATTGACCTGAACAATCCCACATGGCAGTGACGTGGCAGAAAATACAACCCCTATTGGCTGATTAAATTGGCTGGTGTGGCATAGCTCATAAGCTCTTAATAAAAAAATTTGGAAAGCTAGGAACGCTTATCTTTTTGAAAACAAGGTTCTGGACCCATATTTTATCGCCAAAAAGGCCTATGAAGAAGAATCTACTTGGTGTGATACATTCACAAGCAAGATGGATGAAGATGGGGATGATAAAACAGAAGAGATACGATGGATACATCCCCCCAATGGTTCCCTCAAATGTAATGTGGGTTCCTCATGGGTAAACTCAAATCAACTAAGTGGAGCTTCATGGATTGTTCGGGATGCAAATGGACATACAATCATCCATAGTCGTCGTGCCTACTCTTGTATGCGCACAAAGACAGAGGCAGACTTATGGGCGCTTTTTTGGGCGGTGGAGTGTCTACATAACTTACATTTCTCAAATGTTATCTTTGAGACATCGTCGGTTTGCCTGCGAGATTTCCTCACAAAGCCGGAAGAACATCCTAACTTCAGCCATCTCCGACACGACATATCTTTTCTTCTTGCAAGGATAGATTCTTGGAGCCTCGATCACGCACTTCCGGAAAGAAATGAAGCTGCATCGTCAATTGCTGTTAGTGTCACCCGAGATATGCGCCCCCAATCATACATCGCCCGAGATGCACCGGTATGGCTGCAGCATTTACTCACTTTGGAAGCTCAACAATAATGGTAGTTGGTGAGATTTTTTTCCTTTTCCTTTGCATGTGCGGTGTCTATTGACATCTTACTTTTGCTTTTTATTTCTTTCTTTGTATCACAACGATTATTTATATATGTACAAGTGTTAAAAAAAAAAAGATGATCCCTTTCAGTAAAATTAAACTAGTAGTAACACAATTATCTTAATTAATTTTTAATATTTACAATTCATATTTATAAATAATAGAAAATTTAAAAAGAAAAAGCAAAATTCTATCTTAAAACTGTAATATATTGTACATATTGTACCAAAAAAGTACTTTTTAGCACTTTATTTTCTTAAAACTGACTGAAAAAGAATGTTATAGAAGAGTAAAATAACTAATGATCTTTGCACTAGAAATTAGTAAGAACAAGCATCATTGATATGACCCATTAGTTATACCAAACTGGTTTGTTTCGAAATAAGGTATACTTGTTCTCGTTCCAACAATAGCATATGGACTTCAAATACAATGTTTTTATCAGTTTTTTCGAGTAAACTTTAGTTAAACTACCGTTAAACAAGGTTGAACGGCAAAGTACATATTGATATATAGTCAAGATTGACGGATCCCATCCAATATCACCACAATGGAAGCAAAATCAGTCCCAAAATGAACCTTGATCCATTTCCGTAAGGATGTTCCACATACACAAGAGATTTCGAAACCAAACATGAACACAAGTAGCAGTCGTTACTCCAGAACCTCTTTATCTTTTTTGAAAACAAATCAAACTACTTATGAAACATGAATTATAAAACTCATATTTTGCTTTCTTGTACGGAAAAAATCATGAATTATAATATGTATAGAAAGGGAATGAATTTTTTTTTTTTTTTTTTGGATCAAAAGGGAATGAAAATATTTAGTGATGAAATAATTCACTGAATCTGGTGGGCTTTAATATTGCGTAGCCCATCAGTGCTGGTTTTTATAGGATACAAAAAACCACTATATATATATACTAGGGTAAGCCCGCCCTACGGGCGGGATATAACTTACATATAATGTTGGTTATTAATTTTTTTGTATGGTTTTGGGATTTGTATTATAGGTTTGCATTGTAAAAGATGTGTATATTGGTGTTTTTTGTATTTTATAAAATTTTAGGAAAGATGGGACTGTATGTAATATAATTTAATTTTGTTTGTTTATGGATATCTTGAATATATATTTTGTATTTTACTGCTTGTGCCACTAAATTATCATATCTGTATAGTTCAACAAATGTGTCTTTGTAAGTTCTACTTCTTCTTTGTATTGATCTATGTGTTATTAATTTTGTGTTAGATTCCATTTTTTACATGTCATGATGCAATGCTAGTAGTCTTTATAGTGTTGTTGTGTGTTGTGGTTTGGAAATTTGATTAATAGTAGATGGGTTATATTTTTTTATTCCTATTAAGTATTGGTTATTTAACTGTTTGATTCCATTTGGGATGTTGAAGTTTGAATTATGGTTTATTAGTTTTGGTATTTAAATATAACTTATTTTTAACTATTTAGTTTGCCTATGGTATTATAGGTTTGAGAATATGTAGTCTTAAGTTTTGATGCTATATCTTTCTTTTGAAGTTATGTATTTATTCTTTATTTTGGTTTTCAGTAGCTTGATTTTAATGATAAAAAGAAAATAAAAGTTAGATTCACTCTTTAAAAAGTTTGAATCACCTTGATGAAACATGAAACATAATAGATTCTCCTAATTTGTATTCTTATAAATTGTGATTATATATTTTGGAAATGATGTGTTTTTATTATGTATTTTGTTTATATTATGTATTTCATAAAATTTAAATTAATTATATTTTCGTCCTTTTATATAATTTTAAAAAATATTTTTTGATTATTATTATTCTTATTATTATTATTTTTTTTTTTTTGTTGCGTTTTACTATCAAATTTTGATTTTTTGTATGTTTGAATTTAGTGATCAAAAAGGGAAATACTTCAACAACTCGTTTTTATTTTAGGTGGATTGAGTATGATGAAACTTGAAAATCAAAATCATAAATCGGTTTTCCTATATTTTGTGTTTTTAGTTATTTTTATAATTTATATATTCTTGAGTTATACTTGTAGTTTTCTTTGGTAGTTGTTTCATATCAGTTTTAGTAATCTTTCTATGTCTCGGTTTTATAATCAGAAAATAGAAAACAAATCCACCAGATGTACAGTCATAGAACTGCCTCTTTGGTCTTATTAAATTTTCTATCTGTTTTAAAATTTTAAAATTTTATGTATTTTGTATTTCATTACATGAATATTGTAAAAAAAATATATATATACATATTGATGTCAATAATTTAATTTAACTGAAATTAATCGATTATAAAAATAATTTATGAAATCTTCAACGTTTTTTAAAAGATTCGGTATAAACAAAGATAGTTTAGTTAATATATTTAACCCGAATTGATGTGTCATGTTCATGTTACCTGAAAATGTATAACTTCCCATATAACTTTAAAAGAGAATGTTAGTTCTTACCAAAAGTATAATATTGTTAACGTAAACTGTTATTATTTTTGTTGTTACTAACCAGATAGAAACAATATATATAATAAAAGAAAAATTACATGAATTCAACAACTTCTCCTTCACCTTCTTTTGAAAGTTGATGAACTTGATACTACAAATAAAGACAGAGAGTAGTATTCCTCCGACACCAGTGATCTACACTATCGAATCAATGTCTCTTACTTGAGATGTGATGATACAGTACAATGCCCAAGCCGCTGGTGTCACCTAAACTTATAAGTTAGATACATTCTTTTTGTCATTGGTTATGAGAGTTGATGAAGATTGTTACGGTCTTGGGATGAGGAAACCGGAGATGAGATTCCAGAGACTAAGGAAGAAGGACATGCAGATCAAAGCGATCATATAGGTTGGGGTCAAGGCAGAAGCATCATACCGTATGGAGTGAAATATATGAAGCTTTTAGCATTGAGTAGTAGAATCTTAACTTAACCACAGTCCATTCGTATTCATTCAATCATTGAGTAAGGGATCAGCGTGTAAACTCCCGTTCGTATCGTGTTGTACATGATTTCCATGTATACCTGCGCTATTTCAAGGAGAAGTGCTCATTGTTGTATAACTATAGTTCAAGTCTTTACGACATAAGAAGAGTATTCAGAATGGCTAAACCTGAGGGATTACATAAGGAATGGTTGAGTACATTCCAGCAGCTTTTTCACTGTAAAACAGTTCCCTCAATGGCAATACTGGGCGTTTGGTGGCACCAAGGAACAATATCAAAGCGTACATAACTCCAGAGAAGTTATTCATGTCTTTCTCTGTTCTGTTGTGGTTCTGGGATGATAGTTTAATAAACTGGACCAGTTTTCTCAAGCTTACATTTGCTTTCCTATTTGCCAGGAAACCAAACCAGACATGACGCCAATATTTTTCATGAGAAAACGGATGGAATTGTACTGAGGATATCTCCATTTAGACCCATACTGTTTGAAGAAGCAAGCTTTGGTTTGAGTAAAAAATGGCTGCGAGTACTTAGATTGGAAGTAGCGAGCTCTCGATCCTGGTGATGCAGTACTGAGCTCAGTGATTACGTCAATTGGAAACTGCAAGACATAATCAGGAATAGATAAAGAAGCTAGATTTGGCAATCAGGCAAATATATCTACAGAAAAACAGGAACGCATACATCAGTAAGAACCCTCAGAATAGCTGCACGAATGTTTATATTTGGCAAGCTTCCGTCAGGAAGAGGCTCAAGCCAATTCTTCAGCAGAGTTAGAATTCCATGGTCCAAGAATTCTGTTTGAAGCTGCTTCCTGGATAAAGACGAAACATCCAATATTACAAAACAAATTGTCAGTAAGAACTGCATAGTTTCCATAAGAAACTGTATAAGATAACAATAACTTAGTAACGTACTTTCCAAGTACATTGGTCAGAAGGGAAAGTATCTTAAGCTTGTTGATAGCAGGCTTTCCCTGTCGATTAAGCTCTGCATCTTCCTCAGCAGTGACCTCAAGCTCAGCCATCACATTCTCAACCAAGAGAGCGATTTCCGCAGGATTTCTTTCAGTTTTCTTCTTTTTCTTTCCCATTTTGAAAAGGTTATTAACCTCATCATCATCCTCACCCTCCTCTGCCTGAATTATTCAAAACAAAAAGCATTATATACCACCAAACAAAAGCTAGATCGAGAGATAAAAATTGAGGGACACCTCTCATACCTGAGGATAATGAGTTGGAGAGCGGTCTCCAGCATCACCTCCATACCTCTCAGAAGGATCCACACCAGTATCATCAATGAAATTATCGTCATCCATAGTCCTAACACCTTCATCATTCTATAACAGAACAAAAACATTTTAACAAACAAAATATGCTACCGCAGTCTCAGAAGATTAACAAATGTGGTGCACCTTAGGGTTATCAGCAATAGATTTCCACATCTCATCAATCTCTTCAGATTTCCTCTCACCGCAGCTTGGGAGCTTATGCCTCTTCTCCTTCCCACGACTTCTCTCTTTCTTCTTCTTCCTCTTCCTACCAACCTTATCATCATACTCTGTAACACCACCTCTACCTCCCATGAACTCATCAAACTCCGCATCCTCTACATCCTCATCAATCAACTCAGGAATATTGATTATCTGCCTTTCGCTAGAAGCTTTCTTCACCAACCTTTTCCTTGGTTTGACTTTATCGTTGTCGTAAAGAGGCGTTTGTGAACCTTCACCGTCCCAGTTTCCCATATCATCAGCTAAGTTATCTCCGAAGTCATCATCCAAGTCCACCAAGGGCTCCCCATCTACATCACGGTACCTGGTACAAAAAAAATGATCAATCAAAAACCTATGAAACATACAAAGATTAGTTTTTTTTTACTCTCTATCTCCTTCAAAGAAATAACAAACATTTTTTTTCATGGGATCAAAGCTAACCTTTTTATAGATGTGATACACCGCCTAGAAGAAGAGGAATAAGAAACATTGAATGTGAATACGTGCTTGATGAATAAATACATCTTGTGATGCTCCGGAGGTTAAGAAACAGACGAAACGACACAGTTGCAGCTTTACCAGGCACCGATTCGTCTCACCCAACCTCATGAAACTCCATTGTTGTCAGAGATAGAAGAACCCTAATTGTTGATGGAGTTATATGGCGAAGAATAACGTGATGCGGCACAGAGACGACTTATCACTTTCAACAGGCCAAGAAACAAAGTAAAACTGGGCCAAAAAAGACATTAAACCCATTCATGTTTAACGAAAGAAACGCAACGTTTTAATCTTTTGAACACGTGTTAAATTATGGGCAAATGATTTATGACATCATTTGATGATGTGGGGGAAGGAGAAGAGAGTTGAGCTCTTCTTTATATATAAAGATATATATATATATATATATATATATATATATATATATATATTGTTCTCCTCTAAACCTAGGTGGCAGTCATAGTAGAGAGAAAATCATATATGTTCTTGTAGATAGATCTTTGTAATTCTCCTATCAATAAAGTATTATCTTTATCCATGGAGATAGTTTATTGATGAACCACATTAAATTTCTGTGTTTTTCATTACTGTTTATCTATTCTGTTAATTTATTTATTCTCATACCCGTCAACATATAGCCATCAGAAAATGGCTCTTTGAAAAATAGATAATCAAATATATTATTTTGTTTGTCTGAAAATTATATTAAAAAAATATGTGAAATACAAGTTTTATACAATGAGCTACCAAGAAACTTTTTTTTGTTCAACCAGCTAGCAAAAAGCATAGAATCCTTTTATGCTAACATTTATCTTATTAAAACAGAAGCATTACCATTTATTATAGGTGAATTTTTAAGTTGGACCTCATATTATTAATCTATAGTCTAATAACGATATAATATTATTGTTAATCTAATCTAATCTTTATGCAATTAATTATATTTTGCTATCGTTTAGGAAGTTATCTATTATTTAGGAAGTTAGTGATGATTCAGTATCTTATAATTATTTGGAACATAGTTATAATTCACCTTCTTATTCTTTACGAAAATCTTCAGTATATTCTTATTCTTTTTAAGCAGAAAATTTTGGTTACATTTAAAGCTCTTGATTTGATATCTACTCTATTAAAATATAGTCATTCTTTTTATCTACTGATACAAGTTGTCATTTAAATTTGGACTCTTTCTAGAATGTTACAAATAATATAAGTCATATAGTTGATTGAACCGTATTACTTAAATTAAACCAACAATTAATGTAAAGAGACGACCTTAATGTAAACTACCTTCAAAATACGGCAGGTATATATTTGTATACCGAAAACACATATTTTCTCCTACAAATATGGAATGTTCTTAAAGAATATATATCATCAAAATATTGAATATGGAAATCTACTAATTATACTTAAATTAAACCAGTGGTTATTTATGGAATATAGTCTTGGGCTTATTTTTGTTTTTTGAACAAATTATATAGTTTGGTTTTTGGGCTTCGTATTATGAAAAAAACTCCAAAACATTGAATAAACTTTTCACCTTAAAAGATCAAAAAATCAATTATTATTTTCAGACCCAAAAGATATTTAATATTTTTAACAAAACAAAATTATCTATTATTAATCATTTATTTAAATCATGTACTTTAAAACATGTTAATATATTTTTTTATTTTAAATAACAATCACTTTATTTTGTTAAATTTCAATGGTAACTTTTAAATAATTTATTGTTTTATTTTTCTTAAATAATTTACTGATTAAAAAAATGTAAAGCAAAACCAAAAACCAAATCTAAAAACTAAAATCCAAAACCAAAAGCTGAAAACACATGTTATATTTTTTTGCTTTGTTTATTTACAAAATAAAATATTTCAAATTTTTTTTTAAAAAAATTGTTATACTCTTTTCCGTTTTAAATTAGATGTTCGATTATTTGAGATTTGTTTGTTGGTAATATTAGTTCAAACTAACTCAGCGGGTTTAAAAATTAAAAACCAAAACCAAAAACTGAAAATGAAAAGTAGAAACTTAAAAACTAAAAACCAAAATCTAAAAATAAAAACTGAAACTAAAAACTAATGAAAACAAAATCACCACAAATTTTGGTGAACTGATTTTATATCAAAATATTCTTTAAATTTAGACAAACCCCAATTATATAAATTTTTAATCATAAAAAATTTCCGCGCTTTTCAAGCGCGGGTCAAAATCTAGTTAATTATAAAACACAATTCGATAGATATATACAAACTTTTATGGAATTATCCCTTCTCCAAGTAAACCTAGTTTGCTTAAAATCTCGCTTAGATACTAAATTATAGACTATTAATTGGTTTTCTGAATTATTGGAGAGTATATTTTTTTTGACACCCTACCTAAAATATGAGGCATATATATAGTTCTTCTCATATTCATTATTCGACATTCACTATTACCTCCAATAAAAATGACAAAACCAAACACTTTTGTATTTTGTAACGGTGTTAAACCTTAAAGAGATAATTAGCAAATTCGCGTTAATTTTCTTCATTGTTAGAAAAAACACCAGTTATGTAGGCGACACATTCGAGTTGGTCCTCCCTGACGAAAATGTAAGTTACAGAAGTTTGATTTTTTTAAAAAAATTCATTTTCTAATCAATATCTTATTCAACTTTTCTTTGTTTTGTAGGGTGTCAAGATTGCAACATTTTGTAAAAGAAATCAAACTTCTATAATGTACAGGTTATAGTTTGATCATCTTCGTTTTCTTTAGTTTTTTCCTATGAACTAAACATTTGTCTTCTTTTTTTTGGACGAACTAAACATTTGTCTTCTTTTTTTTGGACGAACTAAACATTTGTCTTTTTTATAAATCTCAGGTAAATTCATTATCTTCGAATTTCATATTTATTTTCTAGGTTAGATCTAATCATGATCATTTTAATGTCACAGATTTATTTCATTGGCATAGCTATGGAAAAAATAGTCGCTACAAGAATCTAAACTATTTGATATCAACCTTCAAACACTGGATTATGTTGGTAAGTTTTCTTGACTTCTATTTTCAATTTAATAGTAGTATGACGTAAACAACAAATAAACAAGAACCAATTTTTATTTGTTAAACATTGATAGAAGTCTAACTAGAAAAGCATCAGCTGAATATAAGGGACCTTGGCCAATAGTCCAAATATTTATATCTTTATCTAATATATATTGTACAGTTAAATATTTGTTATAGAACATTTCATTCAAAAATTTATGGCAAAATCAACTGATAAGATATATTCTCTCATAATTTCATGTATTTAATATTTAATTTTTCTAATGAAATATGTCAACCAAAATTCTGGTACAATCGAGTGAGGAAATATTCTCCTTTACCTTAACCAACAAGATATTCCAAAAACAATCTTACCTTATAAGTATAATATTTTTGAAAATTTATTAAAGAAGATTTTATTTCAAACTTTCTCGTGAAAGCTATGTCGTTTAGAAACGTTTGTTAATTTACTATATATAAGACATTAACAACAGAGAAACGAAGTCACTAGATTTTTATGATGTTATTTTTTCTGCTTTGGATTTAGTAGATGTATTTTATTTTAAAATGTTAAAACTTTATATATATATATATATATACACATGTTTTTTTTCTGATTCTGATTTTGGTTTATGTGCAGATGATCTATATATCATAATGATTCCTCTTTTGAAGCCCCATATGATTTGATCATTCTTCATTTTCTTTTATTTTTTATCTTTAACAGTAATCTTTTTTTTTGTTATTAATCTCAAGTTAATTCATTATCTTCACATTTCATATTTATTTTCTAGGTTAGATCTGAGACAGTTTTCTTAATGTAAATCATTATCTTAGCAAATTTATATGATTTGATTACAAAAAATATATCAGAAACTTGCTAATTATATAGTGATGTTTTTACGAATATTTTAAATTTATTTTTTAATCAATAAAATAATTTTTAAATAGTAAACCCATATTTTAAAAAGTATAGAAATCTATATTAAATGAATATCTTTGTTGTTTTATAAACTACAAAGCAAAAAAACTTCAACAAATCATAAGCGTAGTAGGTTATCTCATACAAAAAAAAAAATCCGTTAACTATCAATTTTTATTGAATTAATAAAGTAATAATATCCACACTTTGAAATATTATGATGTCAAGTAAAGTTTAAATGATTTGGAATACATTTTCTGAAATATATTTATGGTAAAAAAATATAAAAATTGTACTCACTGATTTTAATAGGGCGGGTTCAGATATAATAAATTTCTACTTACATGTCAAATTTTTGAAATCATAAAATGATTCAATATGCAGTGGAGCGGATCGACCCACAAACTCAGCAATAATTTATATTATGGTACGTACAAAATACTGTTAATTATATGATTACATGTATATGACATATACACTGATATAAAAATAAATAGCAATATATTTTTGAAAAATACAGGCGCACATGCCAAAATATAGTATAGGCCTGGGCATTTTACCCGGACCCGAAGACCCGAACCGGAACCGATCCGAAAATACAGGTTCGGGTCCGGGTCCCTGCTAAAGTACCTATTGGGTCTTTTATATTTGGATCCGCGGGTCTCGGGTCGGGTCCGGGTCCTACCCGAGACCCGTTCGGGTACCCGTAGTACCCACAAATTCTTACATATATAAGTTATATTTAGGTGTTTGGGTATATTTTTGGTATTTCGGGTATTTTAAAATTTTCGGGTTCGGGTTTTCAGGTCTAATTTTAGGTTTCGGGTAAAATTTTACATTTTCAGAAAATAAAATTCGGGTATTTGGGTAAATTTTCGTGTATTTTTTGGATTTTTGGGTCTAATTTTTGATAATTTTCGGGTATTTCGGCGGTTCCTCGGGTAATTTTTGGATTTTCAGGTCTATTTTGGGTATTCGGGTCCTTTTCGGGTCCTTTTCGGGTCCTAAATACACTGATCCGAAATATACCCGAAAATTATGGATATTTTACGGGTATTGAAATTATAGACCCAAACCGATCCGGACCCGACCCGGAACCGACCCGAAAAATTATAGGTACCTATATGGGTCCAAATTTTTAGGACCCGAAGGATCCGGACCCGACCCGAGGACCCGGATGCGGGATGCCCATGCCTATTATAGTATATTTTTAAGATAGGTGATATTATGAAAGATATTGGACTAAAACAGTCTTTTTATGCTAACATATTTATGCGAAAAGGGAATAAAATCCTTATTATATTTCTCTCTCTTCTTGGTTATGTCTCGACAACAGCACCAACAAATCTAAGAGCTCTTGTTCGAATTGGTTCCCTGAGATTGTCGGATTATAAAAAATCCACGAAACGATCTGTAGAGGGAGCCTTCGCGGATTCTCTCTGAAACCCATCTTCTCTTCGTGTAATGATCGTTCTTCCTCTCCTTAATGATTTAATCTTTCAATGATATGTGTGTGCACACGGATCTCGTCTCTCTTGTTGGCTGGTTCCATTTACATGGGTTTGATTGTAATTTTGAAATGAATCTGTTCATGTTATGGTTTCTACGGTTAACTAATAACGAATGAGCTGATTCTACCTTATCAGTGTGTTTTCTCTTATGATGTGAACTCTTTTTATTATCATTTATTACAGGAGGAGGTGTTCTGTATTGAGTATGTCGTCGCAATCCTGCCATGGAAAGGAACCAAACGGTGTAAAGGAGGAAGGAAATGTTGCCCCTTCCTCTGCTGTCATTGATTCTCAAGCTGTTGAGGCTACGAGCGTGAATCAGTTGGTTCTTTATGACCCCAAGGGGAATAATAATACTGAAGAAGAAGAAGAAGGAGTGGAACCTGAACCTATCCAATCGCAGCCTTCTTCTTCACACAAAACACAGTGTCCTTCTATTGGGGCCTTTACGGTTCAGTGTGCGACTTGTTTCAAATGGAGACTAATGCCCTCGATGGAGAAATATGAAGAGATAAGGGAACAGATTCTTGAGAAGCCGTTTTTCTGCGAAACAGCTTGTGAGTGGAAGCCCAATGTGTCTTGTGATGTTCCTGAAGATATCTCTCAAGATGGAACCCGTGTCTGGGCTATCGATAGGCCTAGTATCTCTCGCCCACCCGCTGGCTGGCAACGCCAACTCCGGATTAGAGGTGAAGGTGGTACCAAATTTGCTGATGTGTATGTTTCTTTTCCTCCTCTCTCTTCTTGTTTTATATGTCACAGATTACTCTTTCCTCTTGTAACTTTCCTCTTGTAACTTTCCTTGTGATCCTTTCTTCAGATATTATGTTGCTCCCTCTGGAAAGAAGCTACGATCGAATGTGGAAGTCCAAAAGTTAGTTTTGGGACAGCTTTATGATTTTACCAATTTTGTTGTTAGTAACATTATAGATAGCACCCTAATAAGCTCATTACTGGCTTGCAGGTACCTGAATGAGAACCCGGAATACATAAGAGAAGGAGTGAAGCTTTCACAGTTTTCGTTCCAAATCCCAAAACCTCTGCGGGACGATTATGTAAGGAAGCGCCCAGCTCGGCTAATGGAACCAAGCGATGATACAAACACCCCTGTACCTATTGAAGGTATGTTCCCCCACCTGACTTATTATATATGTGTAAGTTTTGTTGAGATTTTTTATAAGGAAATGTCGGAAAACCCACATTCTTTATTTTACTCTTTATATTTTTCATGCAAATAGTACTACTTGTGTGAGTTGGAAACTTTACAAACCACTTAGTTTTCTTCAGCATATTCATCTTGATTTTTGTGATAGTTTCAGGCAATGTACTTAAGGAACTTTGCTTGTAAAATTTTCCAACATTTGGGTTGATTTGTGTCTTTTCAGCTAATCCACTGGCATTGGTACCCCCAGATGCTCAGATTGCAATGCAGCCAAACGAGCCTGAACTTTACCATTCACCCTTGAAAAAGGCAAGAACATCAGAGCTCCTATAAGTATGTGTAGCTAGACAAGACTCAACTATCCCTCTTCATTCGTCTTCAATGGAAATAGATTATATATTTAAATTTTTTGGGTCGGGTACATTGAAGAAAATTGAGGAGGACATGTGAGTTAGCTTGTTTTGTGTGTATCATCTTTTGTTACAAAGTTTCTGGATGTTCATGGAACTGTTTTTAGTTAAATGTTTTTTATTAAACTCAAACTTGATGGATTGCAAAAGGTAGATTAACTGAATTCATAAACCCACCCACCCACCTCCCCCCCCCCCTCCCACTTCCAAACCATGATATCTACATATAAAGTTCTGATAGGTAGGTTGTTTGCGTCTTTCTATTTCCACCACTAAATGATATGTTTGCATGTGTTAAGACATTATTTCTATCACTTTGAAATGCTTCAAACAGCTCTCTAAATTAAAGAAACCAATTTTTTTTTAAAAAAATTAAAAAATATAAATATTCTTTTTGAAAAGCTTAATAACCCATTAAATTCTAATCATTATGTCACTCGTATTAAACGCTTAGCATCATACATCCGTTTCAAAAATTCCGACACAGCATCTGCATTATATGCGTTGAACTAGTCAAGCGTTACACCTGACTTTTAAAAGAGTGTCAATCTAACTATATTAAAAAGGAGATATAAAGTACAATGAAACTATCTACGTTACCTCTACAGATCAGTTCTCGGGTTGTGGTTGGAATTGGAAGGATAACATGGGAAATAGCCAGCTGATGAGCATGCGTAATGTTCATAGGGTGGAGTCGGCTTTGCATTTTAAGCTGGAAACACTGCGGTGGGCAATAGAGAATATGCTTCAATATTCGCCATGTCAGAGCTTTGGGACGAATTGCAAGGAATTGATAGCGATGCTCACAAACCCCATGGATGGCCAAGCTTTTCGACGGAATTAGAGAGGCTCTTAACGCTGCGGATTTGCTTTCCAGATTTCAAGATTGTTTATGTACCTAGGTCCCAAAATGCTGTGTCCGATCATTTAGCTAAGACTGCACGATCTTTCTATCGTGATCTGATGTATGTTGGTTGTTCTATTCCGGTCTGGATTTCCAGACCACCTTAATCTTGAGTAATAGATCGGCCTTTTGATGTCAAAAGATTAAAAAAAAACCGACTATCTACGTGGATCAAAAAAATCAACCAATAAAAAAGATTTATTGGGTCACGTCAGCTTTAGTCGAGACAATGGTATCCGACTTCTCCACTTCTCTATTATTGTTCCAAATCTCTGTAGTTTCGCCGTTTCCGTGTAATTATCAGTGATAACATCAACGCCGTTTCCGTGTAGTTATCAGGAACTCGGGATGATCCCCAGAATGTCCTCAACCCACGAGAAAAAACGCTCCTTGCGTGGCTTGAATCCTGATTCGGGCTGCGTTGATCTTCTGAGTCAGAGCCGTAGTGCTCCTTCGTTTCCTTATTTCCGTGATCGGAGTTTCGATTACCAATCGGATCTGAACCCAAAGGTTAGTGATCCAAATCTGGGTTTCAATAGTTTGATGTTCAATTGCCATGATTTGCTATGAAGTTGTGATTTTTCTTATCTGGGTTTCATGATTTGATGTTGAATTGGGTATGATCTGATATAAAGTTGTGATTTTTATTATATGGGTTTCATGAATTGGATTTAAAGATTGTGACTTTATGAGAATTTTTGGTTATGATAGATTTGTATTAAGCCAAGCACTTCTGCTGGGTTGGAGCAAACGTTGTCGTGGCTTTTTTATCACAAAGTTATTGGAGTTTCGACGTTTTATCTGTTTGTTGAAGGGAAGGCTGCTTCTCTAAATGTGTCTCGAGTTTTGGAGAGTATACCAGTAAGATTTATCTAGAGCTCTTTCCCCTGATCCTTTGCTTTTGTTTTCTTTTTGTTGTAACTTAGTTTTCTTATGGCCAATGTGATTTCTTTTGCAGGGTGTAAAATTTATACACACGACAAAAGAGTTAGAAGAACAGCAGGCTAAAAAGGTACTTATGGTGTGAGCCTTTGTGGTTATCTTTTCTTTTTCCATGGTGAATTGGTGGAAAAGAAGAGCACAAACATACGTGAATGAGACAGGTTGATCCGACAAACAATAGCCCCTTTGAATTGTGTGATAAGAAGAGTGTTTACGAGTAGTAAAGGAGAGGATTGTATGCTTCTTTGCTCTGTTGATACGTGAGTCAATGTCTTTAATTCTTCTCTTATCATTTTAGCAACTTTGTTTTTTCCTGCTTGATTGAATTGTTTATTTCTTCAGGCCAGTTCAGATTTTGAAGAGCACAAACATAGATGGATGGTCTGTTGTAAGATTTCTCCTTCATCAATCTTTCTCTCTTTTCCAATTTGCACCACAAGTTTCTTTTTTGGTGTAGAATAAGTCATTTTCTTTTAAGAGAATTTATTGAGTGCGTTAGCCAAAACTGGCTGATACACACATGTCGAGTTTAGTGAGTTTGGTGGAAGCTCAATTTTAGCTGCAACTGTTGATTGGGATGAAGGACTCTATGCGATGCTGAAATATTTATTATAGCATTTCAGGATATTATATGCTTCAGGATCTTATCTGATTTGACTTATTGAATGGTATTTATACTAACAAGAACTTTGTAGTGTCAGGTTTGTTATGTTGTTGTGAGGTTATGAAAGGAATCTCTAGGAGGGTCTGTTTAGAGGAAGAATCAGTCATGTAGCATATAACACTGCTGTAGTGAAGGCTTTGGAGATGATCAAGCATAAGAGTACATCCCTTAGAAAGGTAGTTTAGTGACCATGTATGTATCTATTTTTTTACAAATTATGTTTCCCACTTAATTATTGTTTTCTGTTTGAAAAAAATAAGGTCGTTCTTGCTCGCAACAGCAGAGTTATAACATATACTGTCATTAATCACATTGCTTGGCTTGCACAGTTACAGGTGTGCTCTAGATATTTATATAGTAATCGTAGAACTATAAAAGCAATGTTATGACTTAAATCTCACTCTAATAATTATTGGGGGGCAGGACAAAGGGTATGTCGCGTAGCAGCAAAGCCTGGGTACATCTCTTGGAGAAAAACCTCAGAGAGATTTAATTGTGCAACGATCAATGGCTTCTTAGCGCGAGAGTGACTGTAACCTCGAAGTCTTTGTACTCAATCCAAGCCTTGTACCTCTCTCCGTTGCTCAGCTTCACCTCCTTGTACCTCCACAGTTTCCTTTTCCCTATCACTGTTTGAACCTAATAGCCAGCTTTCTCGGCCACAACGGATGTAAGAGAGTTAACGTATACACCAACATGATTATCATTAATGTCTCCAAGATGTTTGTCCTGAAAAACATCGAACTCAACAGCGAAGACATGGTTTTCAGGGTTGCCATAGTTGGTTTTGTAAAGGATTCCGAGGAATCCAGCGGGTCCTGCACCGCTGTTGTCGAGAGCTGGGACCACGATGAAGGCGAGGCCATGTCCCAGGGCTGGTTTGGTGCGAGGAGCAATGGAGAAAACGAAAGAAGTTTCAAATGGATAAGGTGGAGAAGGAGAAGAAGCGTTTGAAGAAGGCTTGAAAGGGATTGGAGTGGACCAAAGACCTTGGCCGTGAGAGAAAGGGTTTGCGTCTCGGGTCATGGAGAGAGCTCCGGAGCGACTCACACCATCTGAAGCAGGACCGAGCTCTGCGTCTCCAAGGAAGGCTATGTTTAAGGTTTGGAGGCTGAGATTGACGGCGAAAATGGTGTGAGCCAAGAACATGGCAAGAAAACAGAGTTTCTGAACCTGCATTGCGCTTATTGTTGACTCTAATGAGTGTAAGAAACTATGAGTACGCTAACGTGGTGATTTATAAAGAGTAGTAAACAAAAAGCCATCATCGAGTTTGAATTTTCAGAATGGAAACAAAAACAAAAAATATCATTGAATTGTCACAAGTGGAGGACACAAGAGACCAAGTAAATACAAGTAGTTACAAAAACATACTACTGTATTACTTTATACACGATTTCATCACGTGGATAAATGAATACACTCTTGACTATGTGTGTTATTTATTATCCACCATACAAACAAGACCGACATCGTATAGAAAGTTCCGTCATACCAGTCAGGGCGTCTCAATTAATTTATGGGCCTTATTCAAAATAAAAATTATTAATGTTATATTTCAATTTATTGGTATATTTAATGTTTCTTTTCATACTAACTATAAATTTAATAATATATCTAAAATCTCAAAGTTTTAGATCCTAATTTATATATTTACTTTAAAAATATTTTTAATTATTTTTGAAAAATATTGAGCCATGTTCGACTGCTCCACTTACTCGTGATGTTAGATGGCTCTGATACTAGTGAATCACAGTCACATCATATAGTGAATCGGTTTAGGTGTCCTTACCTCTGTTCTTGAACGTCCATCTCCAAATGTCGTTACCCATAAAAGTCCTCCTAATACTTATATTCTAGTGTCGACGTTATTTTTCCTTTCTTATTAGTTCATTTGGTTTGAAAAGAGATCAGTATACATAGGCATGCAAGCAGTGGCGGATCTAGGAAAAAATCTATTCAATTAAAAAGAAATCACAACATCCTTTCATGTATAATTTTTTAGTTGAACCCTCTTTAAAAATTTATAAATATATTTTCTTAACATTAATGATATAAAATCTATGTAACTACTTTAATCATAATATCTTTTGATATCTTTTCATTTTTAATATATATATATATATATATTATTTTTTTTTTAAAAAGATTTTTAAGCATTTCACTTTTAAAATTCTTATGTAAATATTTTCACCAATTTCGTAATTAATAATAAAATATTATTATACATTAATATATATATATATATATATTCAGTTATTGTTTATAAAATGAAAATAATATTTTATCATATTTAATTATTTTATAATCATAATCTATCATATTAAATAATTGTTATATTGAATTAAATAGGTAAAAATATACTAAGTTGATAAATTAATATATTTTATGTTAAATATGTTGTTTCATGCATATATTGATCCAATTAATGAACAAATGTAAATTCATCAAGAAACATATATAACAAGAAGAAACAAATACATGCGACGGTTTGAAACAATTGATTAAATACAATATATAAAATTATTTTATTTGAAAAAATTACAAACCTTTAAACATATATGATAAATATTTATATAATATATAAATAAAATTAAACACTTACGCGGTTACGCGAGTTAAAATCAGTTACATATTAAAAATGGTTTAGTAAATCAACAAGGGGAATACTAAAAGTTGGTAACCAGTGACACTAAATTTTTAAATATCATAGGGGAATTACACCTATTTTATAAATATCATTGGGGCAACCGCCCCATCTGAAATGGAAGTGACTTCACCACTGCATGCGGATTCGGTTATCGGTTAGTTTGGGTTATTTGGTTCGAGTAGTTAAGTTTTGAGTTACTTTGGTTCAATATAAATCTAACCGAATGAATCCAAATAAAGTTCGGTTTCATTTGATATTTACACTACAAGAAAACTAAGAAATTACTAGGAAATTTTATTAGAAAAATAATTCCTCGTAAATTTACTACGAACTTACTTTGATTTTACGAGGAAAACTAGTTTCCTCGTAAGGTCCTCGTACAGGTACGAGAAACAGTTTTCCTCGTAAGACTGTAGTAACCTTACGAGGAAACTACGTGGCAAAAGTCCATTTCCTCGTAAACCCGTAGTAATAACTTTCCTCATAAAGTCCTAGTAAAACCTTACTACAAAAAAATTAGGAGGAATGAATTTGTTACTACAAAATTAGGAGGAACTGGATAGAAAATATCGAATTTAAATCAAAAACGTGTTTTGTACCTACATTCCCTAGCAATTTCCTACTAAATTCTCAGATTCGAAAATTTCTATAAATACCACCATTTGTGATTCATTTGAAACACACCAAAAAAAATCAGCTATAAGCTTGATCAAACACAAAAAAATGTCTGGTCCGGGAAATATTTTCGAGTTGCGGAAGTGGATGTATTCACACAGAGATAATAACGGGAGGGTGACGAAAGAATTTCTCGAAGGGTTGGAGACGTTTATGCATCAAGCAGATTCTACACCACTCACGCAGGAAAGTGGTAAGATGTTTTGTCCTTGTCGGAAATGCTGCGATACAAAATTAGGCCCTCGTGAAAATGTTTTGAAGCATTTAATAAATAGAGGTTTCATGCCATATTATTATATTTGGTATCAACATGGAGAAGACGATGCTAGTTGTAGGAATGAAGGTAGCAGTAGTAATAGCAATTTTCAGGTTGATCTGGTTGATCATTTGCGTAGTGAAAATAGCTATCATCACCAAGAGGAACAAATGGTAGATTGTGATAGGGTTCATGATATTGTAGGTGATGCATTTGTAACTCATGATGATGATGAAGTTGAAGAACCTAACTTAGATGCAAAAAAGTTTTATGAAATGTTAGAAGGTGCGAATGAGCCAATTTACAGTGGTTGTAGAGAAGGTCTGTCTAAATTGTCGTTGGCTGCTAGAATGATGAGTATTAAAACCGATCACAATCTACCTGAAAATTGTATGGATGCATGGGCAGACAATGTGTCTGCTGAATCTTACTATCAGATTCAGAAATTGGTATATAGTCTTGGGTTGCCCTCGGAGATGATAGACGTTTGCATCGACAACTGCATGATTTACTATGGAGATGATGAGAAGTTAGAAGAATGTCGATTTTGTAAGAAGCCACGATTCAAACCGCAAGGTCGAGGGCGCAATAGGGTACCGTACCAAAGGATGTGGTACCTACCAATCACACACAGATTGAAAAGATTGTACCAATCTGAGGAGACTGCTGGGAGGATGAGATGGCACCCCGAGCATACTCAGACGGATGGAGAGATGACTCATCCATCAGATGCAAGAGCCTGGAAACATTTTAACAATGTACATCCACATTTCGCTAGCAATAGCCAGAATGTGTATCTTGGATTATGCACTGATGGATTTAGTCCATTTGGAATGTCTGGGAGACAATATTCATTGTGGCCGGTCTTTCTTACACCGTATAACCTACCACCAGAGATGTGCATGCGATGAGAGTTTCTATTCATGAGCATATTAATACCTGGTCCAAAACATCAAAAAAGATCTCTTGACGTTTTTCTACAACCACTGATAAAAGAGTTGAAAGATTTGTGGTCAACAGGGGTGAGGACATATGATTGTTCAACGAAAACAAACTTTACGATGCGAGCGGTGCTTTTTGGACCATAAGTGACTTTCCTGCATATGGGATGTTGTCTGGGTGGACTACACATGGGAGATTAGCCAGTCCATATTGTAATGGAATGACAGATGCATTTCAGTTGAAGCATGGTAGGAAGACTAGTTGATTCGATTGTCACCGTCGATTTCTTCTCGTTTACCACCCATACCAAAGAAACAAGAAATTGTTCAGGCACAAAAAGGTTGTCAGAGACACTCCTCCTCCATATTTAACTGGAGAACAAATCGAAGCGCAAATCGATTACTACGGTGCTCTAGAAACAGCTCCTCGTGGTGGGAATTGGCATGTTCCCAGTAATATGCCTGATTCTTATGGTGTTCAGCACAATTGGCACAAAAAGAGTATATTTTGGGAATTTCCATATTGGAAAGATCTTCTTTTGCGCCACAACCTCGATGTGATGCATATAGAGAAGAACTTTTTTGAGAACATTGTGAACACTATATTGAATGTCCTAGGGAAGACGAAAGACAACGTAAAATCGAGGTTGGACTTACCCGATATTTGCTCAAGGAGTGAGCTACATATAAAAAGCAATGGGCAAGTTCCAGTTCCAATATTCAGACTGTCATCAGAAAAAAAGTCTGCGTTGTTCAACTAGGTTGCTTCAGAAGTGAAGTTCTCTGATGGGTTGCTTCAAATCTCTCAAGATGTATTGAGAAAGGGCAAATGTTCTCTGGGATGAAGAGCCATGATTGTCAGGTCTTTATGCAGCGATTACTTTGCGTTTGCGGAGCTACTACCGGCAAAGTATATGAATCACTTTTAGGTAATTAATTAATATAATACGATAATATGATTAATTTATTTCTTTATATATATATACTAATGTGGATAATTTTTGTTTTTGTAATATATAAGGAATTCGAGCATTTTTTACGGATCTGAGCACCCGCACTCTTAAAGTGGAAGTTGTCCAACAACTTCATGAAAACATCCCCGTCTTAATCTGCAACTTGGAGAATATATTTCCGCCTACTTTTTTCGACGTCATGGAACACCTAGCTGTCCACTTCCCGTATGAGGCATTACTTCGTGGACCTGTGCATTATGGATGGATGTATCAGTATGAAAGGGCCATGAAAACTTTGAAAGGAAAAGCCAAAAACCTAGCAAGAGTTGAAGGTTCTATTGTTGTGGGAAGTTTAACGGAAGAAACATCACATTTCACATTGTACTACTTTGCACCGAAAGTACGTACAAGGAAACGATCTCCAAGAAGATATGATGGTGGTGGTGTCGTGCCGACATATATGGAAGACGATGTTCCAGATCTCTTTTGTCAAATTGGGCGATTGGGTGGAAAATTGAAAGAGGTTTGGTGGTCGAGTGATGAAGACGTCCATAGTGCACACCTTTATATTCTTCTTAATTGCGAGCATCCACTGATTGCTTATTTTGAAAAGTAAATATATAAACATACACACTTATATATATATATATATATATATTTTTTCAATATTAAATATACAACATAACATATATGATTTTACAACCAATTTGTGACTCAAGTCGAGGAAGCAAT